ATTTGATAAAAAAAAAGATGTTCCTTTGTAAGAAAACAAAATGTTTCCTTGACAGCAGCAATAGTCACATGGCAGCATCTCTCCCTCTGAAGATGTGAAAAAGAAGGAAGCTGTGGATCAAGCTTCTATTAAATTTACCTTCCTTTGTACTGTTTGGCAATGAAAGCAACTGTAACAGTTGGCATTCTCAGGGTCAATGTGAGTCTTTACTAATCTGTAACAACATCTTCTCAGTCCTTTGTTCCCCACAGAGAAGGCAAGCAAATTGTAAATGGAGAAAGCTCCTCAGGGAAGCAACCCAATAGAATAGGAAAAAGTTAGTCAAGGTTATGGGTTATGCCAATGGGTCTACTGTGCATGACAAGCACATCCCACATCTTACATATGAAGCAYTCCTTCACCCTATGGAAAAGAACACACTGAAAAAATTCCTCKCCTATTACTAAGGAAGTAATGAAAAAGAGGCTTATGAGGCTTTAAAGAATGAATTATTTGAAATTTCTTGTTTATATTCAGAAAGTAAAAGCAATATGAAGAGATCTTTAAAATATCAAGTACTTAAAAAAAACCCACTAATACCTTCTAATTCAGAGAAAACAGATTTGTTACCTTATGCATGTCTGGATGATTATATTTCTTAGATGCACTAAGAAGATCAAACAAGGAAGGACAGACATTTTCAAACAGAAGGTATTGGCACCATTTACACTCCAAAATCTCTCTTATATACAAATTAATGCATTTCTGTTTGCTAGAGACAATCCTAGATTCACCKACCCTCACTCTGAGAACTTGACTGTAGAAAAAATATTTCAAGCTGGTTCTAGAGCTTTGTAGAGGTTTCTCAGTTTCTGTTACTTGTCTAAACTCCATCTCCTGTGCTTTTCCTCTCATTAAAATACTGTGCTCACMAGTCAGTGTTTTAAGCATATGAATTCATTTTACAGTTTTTAGCYATTAATACTGAATGTGATATTACAAAAAATTAAGCTAAGAATGACACTGTAAATAATTCAAACTGTCTTAGTTAATAAATTACCCTTACTACCCTTTAAGGCAGACATAGCATTGTGTTTCTGAGAGGTAAGGACAAGTGTAAGGTATTCCTCATATTTAATTTCTTCAGAAACAGGTYTTATTTTAACTATTTCACAAGAAAMRTTGCACTTGTTCAAACYAGAAGYTGYTASAAAATGACACTTCTGAGCAGATTTTTTGTGCTTTATTATGACTCCAGTGTCTTTAGTCAAACTAAATCTCTTGATTTTTAAGAGGAACCTCTTAAAAATATCCATAACACTACTCTGTAAATTTATCTCATATATCCAGTAGGAAAACTGGACATGCAAACCAAAATATTTCTCTCATTCACCTTTTCTTTTCAACCTGTTCTTTTCACCTCTTTCAACAGCTAAAGATGTAGAAAAGGCTAAATGCATGACTAGGAAGAGTCTATAATCCATAGACATGGAACAAAATATGTCTCATGAAATACTGTTGGAGGCTGGAGAACACTGCAACAGCCAGGAATCAGAACAGCTATGAATTCTGTGATATTACAGACAGAATCCCTAGTTGGTGAATTTGATTGAAATCATTTCAATAATAGAGGTAGGTTACAACATTCAAGAAACTCAATATAAACACTAATGGAAATGTACCTTGTTTGTTAAGTGAGGCAAATTGCGAAATTTCTATATGAAGTTTTTCAATTAATTTCTACAGTCTTTAAAAGTCATTATATATGCAAATAGTTTGGTACAGTCTGCTTCAATTTAACTTGCCATAGCAAATAGTTATAGTCTGCTTCAATTTAACTTGCCATAGCAAATATCCTTTCCTTTTGTTTACTGAATGACATTGTCATTACTGAGTGACACTGAATAAAGAAATCCATTTTGAAATAGAGAATGTCAAGTGCTGCTAGTAACATCACTCCAGCATTTATCAAAAACATTAGTATATTTTCATCAGTAGAACCAAAATACTGTGAAGATCATGATTTCTTTATAACACAGACTGYATTGCATTGTATTTCTCAATGTTTGTTACAATATATTTCCTCCTTATCAAATCAAAATTTTGCACACAATCAGTGCAATCTGAAAGATGCAGTAGTTTCATTCAACTGTAGATTTGCTCTGTATCTGATTAATTCTCTCCTTATAATGAAGTTGTCATAGCAATGCATTTTTAATAGTACTGATTCATATGCCAGTATGTTCTGGAGACAGYGCTCTTGGTAGTTTTTCAGTGTTCAGTTGTGCTAAATTATAACATTAGCAAATACAAAAGTACTGGTCAACTTGCTCARGCAGAAGAACAAGTGATCAGACTTAAGACAGGCCAAAGCATCATCTGATATACACCACAGAAAGCAACAAAAAAAATTCGGGTGGCTCAGCTCAAGAAAGTAAAGGCAGATCATATATCTGCTTTATTTTCAATATAAATGCTTAGTGATTAAAAAGAAAAAATACTTAATATTTAGAAAAAATAGGTGATTACACCTTACTAGGAAGAAAGAAGGTGTAGTGGCTTTTTCTAAAGGTGTTACTCTCATTTATTGGTACTTCTACGGTATACCAGGCAGCTGTGGAGAAAATCTGGGAAATTATTGTACTTTTTTGATAGCTTTAGAATGTCTTCTTCTCTGTCTTCTTAACAGATAAATTAAATTACAAATATTTATAAGATTTCAAAATACCAGGAAATCATCCTACAAGGGCTAGGACTATATGYCTAGGCTGTTTCCAAGGCATTTACAGCAAGTTGTGCTCAATGATCTTTGTGGGTCTCTTCCAGATCAGTTTATTCTGTAACTCTGTGATTCTGTGAATTTACATACTTCACAGTTACATACTGTCTGTAAGAGTAAAAGAAAATTGCCTGATATTCCATTCATTTTTTGAATTCAGAATGTGAAGAATTATGTGCATTATTTTCTAGYATCAGGCAAAATGTAAGTGAATTCAATTGAGATGAAGATTAAATGGTGTTAGCTTATTTCTGTGGATGAGAAAGAGGTGGAAAACAGAGAAAATTATTATTTTCCTCATGGCTCTCTAGAAAGCATAAGGCTTGAATTCTGAAGAGTTGTTTGAGAAGATCATTGCATAGCACACATCCTCTAAATGCTCCTTCAAAGGACTGATGAAGGGGAAAGTATATTGTGAACGCAATAATTGACCTAACTAATAAAACTTAATGAAGATGTGTATTGATTTGGTTATGAGGAACTCTTACCCTCTAAATATATAAATGCAAAATGGTAATTGTTCACTCTGAAGTTTCTGACCTTCCCTGAATGTTGTGAGAAACATGCCTAAGTCAGACTAGAAGCTTGCAAGCAAGGAAACATTTGCAGCTACTATAAATTTAACACACACTAAATTTACCTGTTTCATATATCCTAAAGAGTCAAAAATTAAACCAAATAAAGGGTGTTGGGACTGAAGCACAGTRGAAATCTAACAATGGCCAAGATAAAGTTGCTAAGGGAACTGTGGGGTGACGGAGTTAAAAAGGGACCAAATAGCTAAGCAGAACATTTGCTTTCTTCTCAATTCTTAGTATATGCATTTTTCCTTAGGATCAAAGTTAATCCTACATTTTTGRGTGTCTGAAAAAAAAAATAGTGTAATATTCAAGCTCTAGCTGCAATGCAAACTGAGATTTCCCAGAAAATAAATATAGTAAGAAATCTGATGATACACGCATTAATAAGTGCATATATCCAATGYATGTATCATTGTTTCACACTTTAATCAATAAATACAAAAATAATATTTTCCTTAATCATTGTAAGCTTTCCCTTCTAAGMTGTTGTTGCTTTGTTCTTCAAAAAGAACATATTTGAAATTAACAGATATTACAGTTTAATGAAGGAATGAGCAGGCTACTTGGACAATTGGGTTCTTAGAAGGGCCCATTACCAGAGCAGTAGAAGATGCTGAGCATGGCTGAGGTTTCACCCCACACATTCACAATTTCTTCTGCTGAGCCTCAGGTCTAGTGGGAGGCAGAGCTGCTCAGCATTTGGCCTCCTACTTACGTGCAGGTAGAATGAGCTTAGTGAATCCCAAAGTAGCTGTATTYATCCTAGTTAACTACGGAATGCAGACCACAAACAACACAAGTCTTTTCTGGCCTAAAAGATCATTTACATTACACAGAAAGAAAAAAACTGTTCCTTGGTGACATTTTTTCTAGTTTACATAATTTTTTTCAGATAAGGAATATAGCTCTTCAAGACTATCCTTAAAATTATTATGTGTCTTCTTCTGACCATCCTCTGTGAATTAAGGGCTAGTCACCTGACGACAGTCATTGGCAAGGTGCAACTAAAAGAAGAGGGATTCTGTGGTAATTTCTGCATACAGGAAAAGGCACGTGCTCATGGAGGAACGTTGTGTTTATTTAGGTCACAAAGAGTGCTAGACATGGAACACATGTGGAGTTGGGAATGGTGATCAGTCTATACCCAAACCCTGAAGAACTATGGCCTTGTAACTGATGATCATAGTATGCTGAGGTTAAATGAAAGTTGAACCATTTTCCACCTTTCTARTCTGTTTTAATGAACATGACCTCATTCACTTTCTTGGATGTATACCAAGATTAAGGTATGAACTGTCAATGTAGGATACTTATAATTTAGTTCTTTGCTGCTAGACAAAAGCTCTGAAAAATTTTAAATGTTTGAAATGTACTTTATTCTGTCGCACAAACWCTCTCTCAGGAAGGTTTAAAAAAAGGGAAACTTTCAGATACCACAGGTCTCAGTATTGCATTGACMTTTACCATTAATCATAACAACAAAACAATGTCAGAGTGAAATGGTGAATAGGCATGCAATAGCAAAGTGAAAGAGAAGGAAAAATGCTAGATATTTTAAACAATCTTTTGTTACTATAGCCCAAGACTTCCTCCTGATTCTTTTCAAGCWGCAATAAAAATTATATTAAATATTTAAAATGTGAACAGGCAAGTTTACTTACTGTTTCCTGGATGCCAGCGCACTGCATTTAAATATGCATTACAGTAATGGAAGAGAAATTCATGCTTAGATCGAGTAACTTTTCCTTGAAGTAAGGGTAGCAGATCATGYCCATCAATAATCCTGAGTAAGAAAGCATTTCAAAATCAGAAAAAAAACCTCAAATCTCACTTTACTGAGAAGATATTCTAACTCTGCGCATCTGCTGCCTAAAAAAACCAATTGGCCACCTCCAATTTATCAATTCAGAAAAAAAAACCTTCAGGTGCTATTCGCTTTGATTTTTACATTACCTAAGGAGACAATTTTATAATTTGCCATTATGAATAGTTGTTCCCT